GCTCACATGCTACCTTCCTTAAGACACCTACCCTTGTCCACCCTACTAAATTGCTAACTGGTCCTCTGCCCAGCACTCCCAGTCTACCTTAATTTTCCCATAGGCCTTAGTATCTTCAACTGTACTGTATAATGATTGAAATCGGTCCAGTAATTAATTACATCTAGACACTGGGAATACAGCAGTACAGGGAACAGACCTGGCCCTGCTCTAATGGAACCGACCATCTGGGGCGTGACACACAGGCACTAAACAAAAGTTCCACAATCACTTTGCTAATTCCTGCCATAATGATGATATGCAGGAGACTGCCGACCTGGTTAGGGGAATCTAGGGCCTCCTCAGAGCTGAACATGCCCTAGGATTCCACTTTGATCAAGCACACTGATCAACAGCATGACTTTCCCAGGTGTCACTGACAAATGTGCTACTTTGGGAGATATGTCTGAGGGCAGAGGGAGAAGGATAAAGAAGGGTGGCAAGAACAGCAGGGGTCAGGCCTCCTATTGTAACCTTAGACCAACCGCAGATGGGCGCTGGTGGATGAATACTACCCTCGTCTGCATCCAGAAGGACAGATCCAAGCGGCTTTCTACAAAGCTCCCCAGAAGGGCCAGGAGCACAGAGTCCCAACATGAGAACCCAGCCTTGTATTGACTTTCCCTCCTGGCCTGTTTCACTCTGCCCAGCCCCTGGTTCTGCTCACTGGGACCTCCTCCAAAAATTACCCACAGCACACAGCCCTTGCTCATGCTCTGCTTCCCATGGACACCCCAGGCTAGAACAGGTTCAGTGATAAGTGAAGCGGAGACAAAAACAGAGTAAGGGTAGTGCGGAGTGTCTGGGAGTTTGTCATTTTCAACAGCAGGGGTCAAGGTATGCCTCCCTGGTAGGTAACATCTGCACAAAGACAGAGGGCATGACCCACCCACAATCCCAGTAGGGGGACCTGCCACTGCAAAGGACTTGGGAGAGGGGAGTGACCACCCTGTGCTCAAGGAACAGCAAGCTTAGCCTGGCCAGGGGTGATGGATGCGAAGCGAAGGAGACACATGATACTTGCACACATGCACGAAGGCTCCTCCTCACACCACTGTTGACAATAGTCTGGAAAGAGCCGGAGTCCATCAAACAGAGGGATGGTTAAGTAAGTTATAGTACATCCATATAATGGAATACTACACAGCATTCAAGAAGAATGAAAACACTCTTTATATAAAAATATGGAACAATTTCCAATTCATATTAAATGAATAAAGCAAAATGTGGAATGGTGCATATAGGAAGTTGCATTTGGGTAAAGGCATGGAAGAATAAACATGAATGACATAAAATTTGAACCCAGTCTATTGCACTTACAAAAGCCATACAAATTATTTCTCCTACAACCACACATTATTGAGGAATTTCTCAAAAAAAAAAAAAAAATCTTGAATGCTCCTGGTGTTATGTGTAAACCCAATATTCAGACCACACCATGGAGAATATACACCCAATATTTGCTTTTACTGTGGCTTCTTCTATCCGAATACCCTCTCTGAACACCCAGAACATGCTGCCCTCCTCCATTCGGGCCCCGCCCGGAACCCATCATTAGAGTCCTAAGACACAGTCTAAGTGGGCTCTGGAGAGGTACTTACTAAATGTTGACGGACATAAAGATGTGCTTGTGAACACACTGACTGAAGCAATGTATCCGTACACTGGAGTTTGATGCTTAAAAATCATTGTGTTGCTAATTTTCATTTCAAAAGGCAGTTCATCGCCTCTCCATTTAGAAAACTGGAACAACCACACAGTGTTTATTAGTTATAGGATCTTTAAAGGGTTCATTAAAATTGAGCAGCTTTGCCTAGCACCTTCACTGAGGGAAGTAGAACTGGTACTGTTGACTACTCTAGAATAAATGGAAAATAATACACGTTAATGGACAGGACACTTGGAATAGACTGCGTTGTTGTTTTTAATACAGTTAAATGTCATGATGGACATAATGAGACTGACAGCGAGCACTTTTGATACGTACAGGACATTATGGGCATTATCTGGCATAATCCTCAGGGCCACTGTAGAGGGGTAGGTATCTCGAGTATTACCCATTTTGTAAATGAGGACGTGGACTCACCAAAGTCACACTGAGTTAAACTCCAGTCCACCAACTCCAAAGTCTGTGTTTTAACTGTTCACATTCCTACTGCCTTTTGCAGATAGTATATACAAGACATGTAGTATATGATGTGGAATCAAACATTAGAGATTTTGTTTCAATTCTCTCATTTTACCGATGAGGCAGAGTTCCAAAGAAGTGATGTGGCTTGGGTTTCCTGACTCTTCATGCACAGATCCTTCTATGCATTCTTCTATGCATCACACTGTACAGAGCCTGAAATATGCTCGGTAAGGGATTATTTCATAAGAATTTATGGGATGGAGTTGACTGCAATCTCAAATGGAACCAGAATGGCATTTTTAACTCAAAAGACCTAGATTTGAGTAAAAATGCTAACTATCTTTATGACAAGTCTAAAATATTTTGAGCAATCTTAAAATAGCCGAGTGCTTTTTAATCCCAATCTGTAAAGGGAAAATAGCTGATTGAAATGTTCTAGTCATCCATATTGAGGGCTGTAGAAATGGGGCAGTGGTGAAGAGAGTCATGATGCAATGGGTACTTTGTATCAGGAGGGAAGAGGCACAGGCACTGGACTGAGAGGAGCAGAGATACTGAGCAGAACCGTGTTTTAGAGGGGAGAGGGGGCTAGAGGAGGCCGGGTTTCGAGTGTCGTTAAGATTTACCGACGTGGAGCAGGGTCCCACCTCCCTCCAGTTCGCAGGGCAGACCCTGCCAACTCACCTTGGCCCTCTTTCTTGATGAGCCCATGGTCAGTCCCATTATCCTTCACTCTAGGACGGATGTTACGAATAAGAAATCAGACTTGGTAGGTGGGAAGTTGACGATTTGTTCTCTTTGGCCATCTGAACCGCAACTATTAGACCCGAAATTAAATCCGTGGCAGCAGGGATGGCTCCTTTTATCACACTGCAGCACTGCACTTCCCCCCAGTTCTCAAATAAACCTGCTCTTGTAACTAGCAGAGGGGTCAGCAAACTCTTTCTGTAAAGGGCCAGATAGTAAATATTTTAGCCTCTGAGGGCCATATGGCTTCTGTCACAAGAATTCCATTCTGCTGTTGTAGTGCAAAAATAGCCAAAAATAATATGTAAACAAGTGAGTGAGGCTGTGTTCCAATAAAATTTTATTTATGGACACTGGAATTTGAATTTCATATACTTTACATATGCCATGAAATATTCTTTTGATTTTTCTCAACCTTGTAAAAATGTAAAAAACTATTCTTAGTTCACAGGCTGTACAAAAATAGGAGGTGGGCAGATTGGCCCGCAGACCAGTTTGCTAGCCCTCAGTCTGTAGTAGATTTCTCTACTTCTCCAATATGCGGAGCGTGAGCTCTGCTGACTGCAAAGGCCAGTCTCTCTTCCAGCTGCCTCATTATTTTTTACTTGTGTTCATTCACCCCATTCGAGCATTCGCTTGGCCCCTACTCCAGTCTGGGTACTGCACAAGATCCTTGGGGCACTGAGGGAAAAATCAGACATGGCTCTTATCCGAGTTCTCACAGGGTCAGAAAAGGCACCCACAAGTGCAGTCAAGTATCAGAGGTGTTGGAACAAGACACCAGTGTTGGATTCCCAGGGCTGCCATAGCAAATTACTACAAATGTGGTAGAAATGTGTCCTCTCATGGTCCTGGAGACTGGAAGTCTGAAGTCAAGGTGGCGGCGGCAGGGTTGGTTCCTTCTGGAGACTCCCTTCTTCTGGAGTGAGAAATCTGTCCCATGACTCTCTTCCAGCTTCGGGTGATTGCCAGCCATTCTTGGTTCCGTGGCTTGTCGATATGCGCTGCTCCTATCTGCCTCTACCTTCCCATGGCCTTTTGCTCTGTCTGTTTCCCTTTCTTTTCTCTTACAAGGATTTGTCATTGGATTTAGGGCCTACTCTAATTCAGGATGGTCTCACCTCCAGATCCTTGATTTTACCTGCAAATACCCTTGTTCCAAGTAAGGTTGTATTTTCAGGTTCCAGGTAGACGTATCTTTTAAAGGGCCACTATTTAACCCATTACAATACTCTTAGAAGACTGGGGTAATGTTATCCTGAAGGCTTCATGGAGAAGGTCTTAAAAAATGAGAGCTGCTGGTCAACGGATAGACGTGAGGGAGGAAGGAAAGTGCAGGCTTGGGGACCAGCCAGAGTTGGTGTGGGGGGTGTGACGCCACACGCAACTTAGAAACTGCAGGCAGCTGAGCCTGGCTGAAGAAGAGCAGGGTATGCACCGGGAGCACATGAGACCAAGGCCAAGGAGGTCAGCAGGGAGTCCACGGTGGCGATGTGGGCATCATGATCCAGCACCATTAAGCCAGAAGGATTTGGTGGAAGCCTCTGGGACTCCTTCCACTTGAAATGCACCAGAGCTCAGACACTCAAGACACTCATCCAACCCCAGCACAGTGGGACTAGACAAGCTTTAAGCTGTTTCTCCCAATCAGGACATTTCGATCTCATGATTAAGGTTTTATGATCTTTAAATAACACACACGCGGGTTTTCTACGAGTGTCAAGGCTTATGGCTTCAAGCCCCTCTGACACACACGCTCCTCCCAATGCTGAGAGCTGCTCTTCCTGCCACCCTCTTCGCCTCCTGTGACCACCCTCTCACCCCTGGGGACTGTGAGTCAGGCAAGTGCAGTTTTCTTCCTATTACTACAACCATACAAGAGTCAATCAAGAGTAAGAGGCAGTTAATGACAAGATCAATGGTCTTACTGCATTTAGCAAGATTTTAAAAGCAATCAAAACTAAGACAATAATGAAAAATACTATTACAAAGAAGGGGAAATATTTGATGTGTGTACGCACTCCACTAAAATAACACGGGGAAGACTTTACAAGCTTAAAAACAAAACGCCAGTAAACCAAGCCACACTTAGAAAAATGAAAGCTGATTTTTATTTTATCATCAACAGCCATTCTTTAAACATGAACATGCATACGTAATATTCTACGCACACATCACAGTTTTTAACGTTAGTTAATAAAGGTTAAACACACAACATACATCCTTACAAAAAAAGTCAAATGCAAACTTAAAACTTTAAACAAAAGTCTTACTAATTTAAAAAAAGTTTGTGTTGGGTACCATTTGTACAACACAAGTTAATTTAAACATTTTCATTTTGGCTGCACATGAAAAAAGCGGCAGTAGAAAATAAAGTCATTGAGGGTTTTTAAATAGCAGAATAGGCAGTTTTGCCATGCAGGAGAAGCAATATTAAATATTAGTTTTCAAAAAAAATCCACATTTAAAAATATTTAGTTCAAGTCACAATTTTTCTCAGTAGAGACCCCAATGCAATGCATAATTAGCTGCCTTAGATGGCCCGTTTGAAAGGACAATATCCCTTCAGAGTATAACTTTACTGATTTTGGCACAGAAAAGAAGTCTTAAGAACGAGAACATGATTAAAAAAGAGGGAAGAGGAACAGAGGCAAGAAATAAAAAGCAAGAGTACATGAGATAGTAATTGTAATCACTAAAAACTGAGCATTCCCAGTCACTGCAGAATACTGTCTTCCATCCACAGCAGGTGCGCACTCCACGGCTGTTACTGCAGCATGGACTTGATTTGCTTGGAGGTAGTCTCATCATTCAAATGTTTTGTTGTGTACCTAAAAGTAAACAAACAAAAACAGCAATTTTAGGGAATTTAAAAAAAATCATTATCTGTACTCACTGGTTTCTAGTATTACAAGATGAGCAAATAGGCCAATCTTCCCTCACAGAATCATGCCCTTGATTTCCAGCTTCAACTGGATTCAGGTTGTCTTGCTTAGCCTCCCTACCAGCTTTTAAACAGAAGATCCAAGAACTTTGTAACTGCGTCACAACTGGTTAAAGTCTAAAGGAAACACTCAAGCTGCACCTCTCACTCAGATGAAAACAGTCCTTGCTCCATCTCAGGGATTGACAAATTACAGCCGGTGGCCCAATCTAACTCACTACCTATTTTTGTATGGGCTGTGAGTGAAGTACATTTTTATAATTTTAAATTAATGGGGAAAGAAATCAAAAGAATAATATTTCATGTTAACATGGAAATTATATGAATGCAAATTTCAGTGTTTTTATAAAAAGTTTGTTTTTTTTTAAGATTTTATTTATTTATTTGAGAGAGAGAGAGAGAGAGAATGAGAGACCGAGAGCATGAGAGGGGCGAGGGTCAGAGGGAGAAGCAGACTCCGTGCTCAGCAGGGAGCCTGATGCGGGACTCGATCCCGGGACTCCAGGATCATGACCTGAGCCGAAGGCAGTCGCTTAACCAACTGAGCCACCCAGGCGCCCCTATAAAAAGTTTTAATGGAAGACCGCCATACTGATTTACTTCAGTATTACCTATGGTTACCTTCTTGCTACAGTGGCAAAGTAGATGTGACAGAAACCATGTGGCCCCAAACCCTAAAATGTCTGTTTACCCTCTAGCCCTTTACAGAGAAATATGCTGAGCTCCGTTCTAGTCCCAAACTATCACATCCCAAAATGTCTCAATACTCTTAAGTGCCTTGTTTCCAGCTAGATGTGTTTTGCTATAGGCATGTAAACACAAGAACATAAAGAGTGATCACTGGTTTATGAGAAGATTCACCACAGGAGCCCTTTAATAGCCCAAACTCAGTGAGTAAGCCTACGTGTCCGACTCTGTTCCAGGAACTTACAATCTGGCAGGGCAGACAGATGGTAATATACTCATACCAGGGGCAAAGGAGGAAAATACCAAGTGGGGCCTTAGAGACAGGTTATTCCAAGTGCAGTGAAAGCAGTGGAGGATATTAGGTGGGATTTCATTTAGGTTCTGGAAGGACTGCTCTGGCTGCTGAGGAAGAAGTGTAGGGAGCAGAGGAACAGCACAGGGACCAAGCAGGGCGCTGTTCCAGGGGCCTCAGGGAGGGATGACCAAGGCCTGGACCAGATGAGAAGCAATGGATACAGATGTTCAGTGCTTGAATGTGGACAGTTCAGACAGAACTTAATGCTGTATCAGTTAATTTGGCTTCTAAGAATTTCACATATAATCTTTAAGGAATATATCTTTTTTTTTTTTTTTTTTTATTTGACAGAGAGAGAGAGAGAGAGAGAGGGAACACAAGCAGGGGGAGTAGGAGAGGGAGAAGCAGGCTTTCCGCTGAGCAGGGAGCCCGATGCGGGGCTTGATCCCAGGACGCTGGGATCATGACCTGAGCTGAAGGCAGACGCTTAACCGCCTGAGCCACCCAGGCGCCCCAGGAATATATCATTTTAAGCAAGTACACACAGATGGTCTTTGTGTCTTCAAGAAATTTAAACCCAATTCTTGTTAGTTTCATTTCAAATCAATTTAAAAATTGAAGAAAGCACCTGAATGCAAAGCCTTGGAGAGGTAAGGACACAAACATGTACTTATTAAGTACCTGATAAATTCTCAACAGTTTTACTTGTAAGTCATTTCCAAACTGTTCACATATTACTAAAGAGACACCAGAGCACCTGGCATGTGATAGGTGCTCAATTAATTGGTACTTGTGGAAGGAGACAAGAAAATATGCAGCCAGGCTGGAAAAACAATCCATAAAGGAATATTTACATTAAGTGGCAGGCGATGTAGCCAACACTAAAGCCTTGTTTTCTTTTCCAAGTGCAGATAAAGTATATTTAGCTGCACACAATCCTACTGATGTCAGGAAATAAAAATGTTTAACATCCTTCTCTTCATTTCTGTTTTTTCCCTTTTCCTTTATGCGCCTGAATAGGGGACAGGGCCACACAAGTGGCACACCAACATTTCTACACAGATTTAAGTTTTAAGTACCACTACTCAGCAATGTTCTGGGACATTCCAGGAGTTCTGAGTGCTTTCCTCTCTACCAGACACAAGTTCTTGCTGCTTCTGCGGGATGTGATCATGCACTTCCAGCAGTTCTCAGATCCTTGCCCTGAACGGTGCTGACTGGGAGGCAGGCCTATCACATCACCACATTCTTCTCAAGAAATGGCCAGGAATTAGGGCACCTGGATGGTTCAGTTGGTTAAGCGTCCAACTCTTTGATTTCAGCTCAGGTCATGATCTTGGGGCTGTGGGATCGAGCCCCGTGTTGGACTCTGTACTGGGCGTGGAGCCTGCTTGGAATTCTCCCTCTCCCTCTGCCCCTCCCTCTCTAAACAAACAAACAAAAACAAAACAAAACAAGAAAGAAAGGAGGGAAGGAAAGAAGGAAGGACAGAGGGAGGGAGAGAGGGAGGCAGGAAAGAAAGAAAGAAAGGGCAGAAAGGGCAGGAACACCTAACATGTATGAAAATAATATATGGACACGTATGGCATTATTTCACTTTGTGTATAACACCAAAGTTCCTCTGAGTGCTATGACTTTTCTACCGAAGAAAATCAACCATTATTTACCTTTACTCTGAAATTTAATAAAGAATGCAGTTATCTAGCACTGAATCTTAACTCCCAGCTCTAGGTTGCTCTCTCATGGTCAAGGCACTTGGTTCCATTTTTCCAACCTGTAAAATTTAGGCATGACTTGCTGCTTTTCTGTAATCACATACTATAAGTTGGAGGCACTATATATAATAGCTACGGAGAAGCATTCAAAATAAACAGCATATATATGTGTATGCAATTAAAATTGAAAATTTTTTTAGTTATTGGGGTGCCTGGGTGGCTCAGTCAATTAAGCGTCTGCCTTTGGCTCAGGTCATGATCCCAGAGTCCTGGGATCGAGACCCGCATCAGGCTCCCTGCTCAGCTGGAAGCCTGCTTCTCCTTCTTCCTCTGCCTGCCGCTCCCCCTGCCTGTGCGCGCAGTCTCTCTCTCTCTCTGTCAAACAAATAAAATCTTAAAAAAAATAAAAATAAAAATAAAATTTTTTAATTATTAACTGTCGGCTCTGAGGCAAATGATGGAGTGAGCATCTCTAGTAAAGCAGCTACTCAGAAAGTAATTCCACAAAAGTATCTCCCATTCTGTAGAGGTGTAAATAACAACAATTGCACAGCACTTTTGGGATTATGAAATGCTTTTTAAATAGTATCTCCTTTGCTCTTAGAGTGAAGAACATTAAGGGCTACAGTGATTTAGTTTGAGCAGTGTTTCTCAAAGTGCCAGCATTACATCAGCTAGGGTGTTTGCTTATAAAATGAGATGCCCGAGCCCCACCCCAGACCTGAGAGAGAGACTCTCTGGGGGATGGTGACCTGGGGATCTGCATTTTCACCTCCTTCCTAGTTATTCCAAAGCACTTCAGAGTTCAGTCATGTAGGAAACCTAAGGCTCAATGATATAGCATCAAGCACATGGGATTTTTATTTTTTTATTTTTTTATTTTTCATTCTTATGTTAATCCCCATACATTACATCATTAGTTCTAGATGAAGTGTTCCATGATTCATTGTCTAAGCACATGGGATTTTAAGAATGAAATCCTGACTGTGAAAACAGATTCCGACATTTATTAGCTATATGATCTGTGAGTCTCTCAGACATCCCCAGCACCTCCTATCCATCACCTACCTCACAGAGCTGTGGTGTGGATTAAATAAAGTCCTACATATGACATTGTTTGTGAACGTACAGTGATATAAAAATGTTACTAATTGTAACCACTACCATAAAGTATCAAGTGTACCAATGAACCTTACAAAACTTCCCAGGTGAAAAAGTAAGAACCTGACACATAACACGTAAAAGCAGTTCAAGAGTTATCTCTGCAACAAAACCTTCATTTTCTACTTTCCATTAGATACGTGGAACAAAAACTGAAAACTGACAGGTGGCTCTTGCCTCAATGGTGCTTTACTTCCCCTTTCCCTCAAACACAGACTGTTGCATGCGAGACTTCAATCCCACCTCTCAGCCCCGTTGCCTGCTGCCGCTCTAAACAAGAGGCCCAATTACCTTTAAATTCTGAAAAACAAAAGCAAACTCTGAGTTTTTAATGTGTGGGGCACTGTCCCTTCAAGGTAAAGAAATACAACACCAGGCCCAGGGCGCCTGGGTGGCTCAGTCAGTTAAATGACTGCCTTCGGCTCAGGTCATGATCTCAGGGTCCTGGGATCGAGCCCCACATCAGGGTCCCTGCTCAGCCAGGAGCCTGCTTCTCTCTCTCCCTCTGCCGTGCCCCCCCGCTTGTGCTCTAAGTATAAAACTCTTTTTAAAAAATTTAAAAAACATAAAAAATAAAAAGAAATAACACCAGGCCCTCCTAGACTTTGATTCCCTCTTCCTTTTCAAAGCAGGTTTCCTGTCACTGGCTGGCTTCACAGTGTCTCACCAGTAAGAAAGAAGGGTCTTGGGAGAAAACCCAGGCTGACTGGGACCCAGGGAGTCTTCAGAAAGGGATCAAGTGGTAAAGATTCACAATACCATGAAATGGATAAAACCAATGAGGTTTATGTTGTAAAAACCTCCAGAGTAAAAAATTCCCGAAAGTTATGGTTTCTGTAGGCTTATGGTTGAAATAGTTCGACATTATGAGGCTTTTTATTGTTATATTATGATCCTGAATCTTTCTTATATTTGTTTAGAATTGACCTCCTTTACTCATGTAGTCACTGCTTACAGAATACTTTTCATAATCCTAATAAAATCATTTGATGGTTCCATTCAACTGAGATGATACAGCATAGAATTCTGCTTTATGATGCACCAAGTGTGACTAAGCATTCAAGAGGAATAACAACCTATTTTGCTCATTAAAGGTGAGAAATTTAATACTGAACTGGCAATCATTTTTGTGTATCATGTGAACTACAGTGCACTACAGTGAAAAGCAAAGATGGCCCATGACCTCAAGAAGTCTCCATAGAAATATTCTGTGCCCGTGTAATTTTGTGTTTAAACACAAAATAATCAAGCAATGAGCAAATTATCTTTTATGTTAGGGAAGTTATACTATAAATTAAATCTCTGTGAGTCCAAGATGTTATAGTACGCTGAAATTTGCATTTAAAAATATTCCAGCAGGAGCGCCTGGGTGGCTCAGTCATTAGGCGTCTGCCTTCAGTTCAGGTCATAATCCCAGGGTCCTGGGATCGGGCCCTGCATCAGGCTCCCTGCTCTGCGGGACCCCTGCTTCTCCCTCTCCCACTCCCCCTGCTTGTGTTCTCTCTCTCGCTGTGTCTCTGTCAAATAAATAAATAAAATCTTATAAATAATAAATAAATAAATAAATTAATTAATTAATTAATTTAATTAAATTCCAGCCTTCAAGAGGTGCTGGCCGCTCAGTCAGCAGAACACGTGACTCTTGATCTCGGGGTCGTGAGTTCAAGCCCCGTGCTGTGCCTAGAGCTTACTTAAAAAAAATAAAAAGCCTGTCTTTAAAAAAAAAAAAAAAAATTCCAGCATTCTTAGGAGCTACAGTAACATCAAGTAGGTCTAAGCTGAGAAAAGACAGCAAATAACTGCTTTATTTTCATTATAAGAAATACTGTAAGAAATATACAAAAGTAATAAAGATATCTGTGAAACTAGAAATGTAATCACACTATATTAAGGGAAAAGAGCTAGTTTTCGTAGAAGTGTTTTTATGGTATTATATTTGTAAAAAGATAAGTATCACAGAACTGTGACTATCTACAAGTGTAAAGAAAAAGCTTTGCAAGACTATATATCAAAGTGTTAATAGTGGTTTATTTCAAAAATAGTGAGATCATGTGATTTCCTTATTTTGCTTTACATTTTCCTGTGTTTGCTGAATTTTATTTACTGTGAGCATGTTGTACATTCATTAAAAAAATTAAAAAGTAAACATCCCAAGACAATAAAAAAATGAAAGCCAAGATCTTTGGCAAAGAAATAAAGCTGCTATTTTCATGTGACTGCACCCCCCTGACACGCACGCTCTCTTTATTGTAAAAATACTGTAACCAGTATTTGAAAGCAAGATTGCCAGTAAGCAAAATGAGATCTTCCCATTTCTAATATGAAATATATATTTTCTTTGTACTATTCACATTTTGAAACATTTTCTTACAGATATTTTTTCTATACATATGCACATGTACATATACACACCTGAGAGCATTTAGAAGACCTTCTACACTATTTGGAGGTTGGTCCTTAAGAACTTTGATACAACCTTTCATCTAAGGAGAAAAGGAAACAGAAAAGGTAAAAATGTTTGTTTTCCCATATAACATTCATTATCTCAAAACAGTAGTACTTAAATTAGCACAACTATGGAACTCATGAGAAATTACATTCTTAAAATGTCAAAATCATTTTTCTTAAAAGAAGGAAAAAAATCTACCCAAATGTTATTTTCAGTTTCTCTGTGAAACAAAACTTTTTAAGAACCGATTCGGTCAAACAAAAGCACCATGCACACGAATGAGAAAACGAAGGGTCGGCTAAGGGACGACTTCCCGGAACAGGTGCGGAGCAGCTTTTGAGAAGACGGAATGGACACGCTGCCAAAGAACAGAGAAGCCTTTCCAGGTAGACAAACACCTTGACAAAAATAATAAAGCTCATCACACGCAGAGGACCGAATTTTGCAAGGCTGAAATGACTAGCATAGGGGAGTTTACAGAGGGCCTCACAAGCCAAGGAACACTCAGTTGTAACTAATGGGGTAGGGACTTGTTACAGGCTATAAAAAGGGAACAACTTAGCAAAGGTGGTATGTGAGGACGATGAGCCTGACGATCGTGAAAACGTAGAGTGTAGTAGAAACAGCACAGGCTTGGAGCGCCTGGGTGGCTCAGTCAGTTGAGTGTCCTCCTCTTGATTTTGGTTCAGGTCATGGTCTTGGGATCCTGGAATCAAGCCCTGCATTGGGCTCTGTGCTCAGTGTGGAGTCTGCTTGGGATTCTCTCTCCCTCTACCCAATCCCCTTCTAGAGCGCACGCTCTCTCTAAATAAATAAAATCAAAAGAAAGAAAGAAAAAAAAGTAGAAAAGGCGAGCACAGGCTTTGGAAGCCATGGAGATGTGGGTTCAAAATCCCGCTCCACAATTCACTAGAGATTATACTATGTAATTTCCCTAAATTTTAGATTCTCTCTTAGTACAGAGGAAATAACATCTACATCTTAGGAGTATTTTCAGAGGTAAGTGGGGAAACAAGCATAAAATTCCTGAGACACAGTAATCAATAAATGTTAACTCATTTCTCTTCACAGAGGATGGACATGAATAAAGAAAGGTAGGGAGGCTGGTTAGCAATCAGTAATCTAGACACGAAATGCTGACAGCCTGAGCTAGCTATGAAAAGGAAACTAACTGGAAGACAATTCTCACCAAATACTGGTTCTAATTCTGATGAACAGGGTCAGGAAAGAAATTACAAAACAGAGAAACCAGGAACCTGCTTTATTCCTAATATGAACTTCTATAGAGACAAGCAAAGTGGGAACCCAGACTAGAGCCACAAATTATTATGATTACGAAGGGGGAGAAAATCTGTATTATATAGTCTTTTTTTACTAGGAGCACCTCTACTGACTTTCTATATACATCTGGAAATAAATCTTTTGTTTGAACTGGCCTTTGGTCAAAGAACGAAAGGAAATTTCTTATGTCTAATCATTTATTTATATTGCCAAATATGCAGGACTGCTGAGGAGCAAGAGGGACAAGGAGGCATGCTAGAAGACTGAGGCTGTCCTCAGGTCATTCTACTCCACCGTGTATGGCTGTAAAAAACCCAACACAAGACAAAAGGCAACAGAAGCCCACCATTATCGGAAACTATAAAACTGAGGTCTGTGACAGAGTGCAACCTGCAGCTCTTTTAAATAAACGCCTACGAGGGGCGCCTGGGTGGCTCAGTCGGTTAAGCAGCTGCCTTCGGCTCATGTCATGATCCCAGGGTGCTGGGATCGAGCCCCATGTTGGGCCCCCTGCTCAGCGGGGAGCCTGCTTCTCCCTCTGCCTGCCACTCTGCCTACTTCTGCTCTCTCTCTGTCAAAATAATAATAATAATACTAATAAAAACCTTAAAAAAATAAACGCCTATGAGTTCCACTTATGGAAATGGTTTGGAATTAAATAAAGCAATATAACTTACATCAATCTTTGAAGTTTTGGCAAATGCTCCCACTGGATGTACGTGGTCATAGAGTATTATGACACCCACCATTACCCTCAAGCAGAATGACACCGTCTCTTCATTTGTAAATCTGCTTCTGTATTCCCTGGAGGGTAGAAAACATATGGATGGATGAGGCACATCACTACTTAATGAGCTGATTCAACATTCAGTTGATGCCGAAGGATGTATCCTATTGATCTCTAAAAGGAATGCTAACATTATGTACCCCCTTTCTCCATGGTGAGATTCCCAGAGAACTGAGGTGGGTGCAGCAGTTATTACGTACGTATTCTGATCTCTATATGCACCCTCCTTGGCGTATCACCCCTTCTGTTTGGCAGGGATGAGGCAAACTTAGAGAAATCAAGTAACCCCCAAAATAATGGTTTCAGGACAGGTGCTTTGTAAAGGTTGTTCCCACCAATATGATGAAAAAAGCCACTAGCTTAACAGAGCAATATGCTTGCTATTTAGAAGCTAACTTAATCTAAGCATTTACATTATTATATTACTGGATTCTAATTCTACTAAAATTCACTCATATTCTTCTCTCATTTGGGAAAAAGGGAAATAGAACTTTCATCTATATATAAGGCAGCATGGCATAGCAGAAAGCATCCAGAACCAGGATAGGGCATCCAGGACATGTGTGGCTGACTGGCCACTGGGCATTAAAGTCCCTTCACTTCCCAGGACCTCACTCCCCTAAATGACAACGATAATGAATAGTTGCCCTCCTACTTCGTAAGGTTTTCCAGTAAGATGATGTGTAAATACTGCTTTGGAAAATGAAAAGCTCCACAAAAACAAAAGTTATCTAATAAAACCATGTTATTTAGGAATCCAGGAGAGATTCTTTCTGCCTGCTGATAAGAAATCCAGCCAGACAATACTGTGGTATATATGATAAATGGCTTGAAAGTGAAGGGAAACCCAGCAGAGAATTCAGATTAGTGTTGGAAAAATTAACTAACTAAATAAGTAAATAAATGAATGAATAAAGACTGAACTAATACTGAGAGAAAGGGATAAGTAGAAGAGTAACTCTCGTCCTCTAGCAAAAAGGCAAGGTTCTTACTGGAAAGGAGAGAGAATGCTGATGAGAAGCATAACCAAAACAGCAAAGCTCTTCCCTATCTCCATAAGAGCACCACAAAATTCCGCATTCTGAAGAGTCTAATAAGGGAGTCTGACTGGCCTTAGGGACCTGAAAACCCACTGTACTTTCTACTTAACCAGAAGTTACATTAAGCTCCAGATTATTTTAATATTGTTCATATATGTAACATTGGATACTTCAGATATACTTATTTTCTGCCTTCCAAATAAGACCTGTTCATTTCTAGACAACTATTTCAAGAGGATTGTTAAAGTGAAAAAGAATCAGCTAATACTCACGGTGTTTCGAGCATGACTCTGCATACACTAGCCATGGTGCTTAGACAATCTGTGGTATTTTCTATTGGTAAATTTTTATTCTGTAAAAGTGTATGGAGGAAAAAAAGTGAAAGTAATAGTTATTACTTAAGTATAATTTAAAACTTAACAATGTGAAAACTGACAACTTTAAATGTTGGTTCCTACTCCTAATTTTGTAAAAAAATGGACTAGATTCTAGATATTGTTCTAAGCTCTAGGGATATGGCTATGAGCAAGAGAAGCAAGATCCTGCTCTCCTGAGAGTCATTTACACTGTAGCTGAGTAGAAACAACCATTACATGCAGACAGGGCCTCACAGGCCATGAGGTAGGGGGATTTTATCCTAAGGAGACTGGAAAGTCACTGGAAACATTTTAAACAGAGAAAGAAGGGCATGTGGTTTTTAAAAAGAAGATTACTTGGCTGCTCTTTGGAGAAAGGACTATAGCGGGGCAAGAGCAGAAGTAGTAAGACCAGTAGGAACACGAATGTCATAATCCAGGTATGAGGTGAGAGGGCGGTGGGCTGATCTGGAGAGGTAGAGCAAGAGAGGAGCTAAGTTTTCAGATTCAGGGTCTATTGTGGAGGGAGAGTCAATAATACTGTCTCACAGAGGAGATATAAGAAGTTAGATAAAGAAAGGAATTCAGGATGATAACCCCTAAGTTACTTGCCTTTACAGTGGTACTATTAAGACAGAAAAGACTGGAGAAAGGGCAGGGTTGGGAGAAAACACCCAAGACTTTGGTTCGGCCACGATACCATTGAGGTGTTGACTATACATCCAAAGGGAAGCGGCCGATAGGCAGGTGGATAGATGTGTGCCTGTGGGCCTTGGGGAAGGGACAGGACGCAGCGCGTATGCGCTCAGAGATGGCAACGTCACAGGGCCTGCGGAGGTCACCATGGCTGTAGATAGGAAGAATAACACGAAGAGTAACCAGCTATCTAGGCAACACTTACTCACCTCTGATACAAATTTTGTCGTGGCATCACTTAAGGTTTTCAGCATTGGGGTTGCCTCAGCATAAAACAAAGACATTCGATTTGCCAATTCATTATTTACTTCATTTTCTCCTTCTGCCTATGTGGAAAATAAGAGCATGAGATATCAGTTCATAAACTGTTAAATATGATAACATTTATAAAAGAAGGGCCTAGGCAGAGTGCCTGCTTCACTAATGCTTGTTACTCTATTAAATACTCTTAAATTATATTTTAGACCCTTAGGTACACATAATACTTAAATATTCTTTAAAAACAGGTTAAAAATGGTATTAAGCTATTTTTCAGAAAGATTAACCTCTTTTAAAATACGGTAAATAATATTAAGCAATTGAGTAAAACCTGAATGGGCTGCCTACTGTAACAAGGGATTGCTCTAAATGCTATGGAAGACAGGAAGATGACGAGGACGCTGCCTCAGCCTCCGTTTCAGGAACACACAGGTACCCACAACATGCTAAGAGGCGATGACCAAAAAAGGAGGTGAGAGGAAGACTACACTAGACTGGAAGAAACTAAAATGGACTCTGAAGACTTAGCCTTTGCAGGTGATAATGGGCAGGTACGCATGGCATTCCAACCAGTCAGGGGAGAAGAGCATGTTTTCAAGTGGCCTAGAGTGTAATCCAGTGTGTTCAGTGTAACAAGGGGCAACGGCCAGCGGACAGCAAGGTTGGGAAGGAAGGCTGGGGTCAAACTGCAGAGTGTCTTAGCTGCTAGCTTAAGTTCTTATTTTTCTTCTGCATGTGACAGGGGGCCCCTGAGCATGTTAGAAGAAAGGAACAACAATTAAGTCAATTTTCTAAAGCAAACTGACTGATGGTGTCAGGCAGAGTGTGCCAAAAAGGAAAGAGACCATAGGTCAAAAAATGAATTCTCCTACAGAATGCCTGCCAAAGAGAGTGAGAATGAGGCTCTCAACTGGAATAGAAGAACTGAGATGAAAAGGGGGGTGAGGAAGAGATGTGAAAGGTATTTCACTTGACAACAGTTGGATGTACCTGTGATTACTGAGGGTGAAAGATAGGGCAAAGGGGATTTTATGGTCTTTGGCCTTGAGTGGTAGCAGGATGGCTATACTGGAGGACTGACTGGGTGTTACATGTTTTGATTTGATTTGATTTGATTTTACATGGTGGGTATGAAAAAGACAAATGATAAGGTCAATCTCACAACAGGAACTGGTCTATGCAAAACCAAAGTAATGTAAAATAACAGATGCTTCATGGAAGAGAAATCCTTTTCCTACCAAGGCCTGTCTTACAACAGCCACTTCAGGAAATACTGATTCAATGAAAAAAGAAAAAAAAAAAGACCAGTCGCTCCTTTGGCATTTTCTTTAACCTCTTATGCCACTTACCACTCCTTACACATTTATGTAGTCTTTATTAAACTATCTAGTTGAGGCTATAAGGCTGATCCTAGAAATTTCCCCATTTTTCACACCAATTAGCACAATGTAGGTCCTCAAAATCCGTGAAGAAAAAGAGAGTATTTTCTTTCTATTTAAGGTTTTACTTATGGTATTGGACTCCCTGGAGGTAGAAAAGGGTAAAGACAAGGAGAAATCAAGGGAAATCAAGCCTAAGTAAACCAGAAGAGCAATTCTGTAGCCAAGGAACAGGCACAGGAGTGCTCACGGCCCATGACCTTGCTCTCCCCTCTTGCCAACATTAGTATCCTCTCATTCCAGGTCAACTTCTCTCCAGGATTCCTCCATTCTAAGACTATGGGGTCAAAAAACTCACAAGCATGAATTCACAAAGTTTTTGTGCAATTTAAATGAGAATACACATGGGGCACCTGACCAGCTTGGTCAGGAGAGCGTGCGACTCTTGATGTCAGGGTTGTGAAGATGAGCCCCATGTGGGGTGTACAAATTACTTAAAAATAAAATCTTTTAAAAAAATTTAAAAAATATGGGGCGCCTGGGTGGCTCAGTCGTTATGCGTCTGCCTTCAGCTCAGGTCATGGTCCCAGGGTCCTGGGATCGAGCCCCGCATCGGGCTCCCTGCTCGGCGGGAAGCCTGCTTCTCCCTCTCCCGCTCCCCCTGCTTGTGTTCCCTCTCTCACTATGTCTCTCTGTCATATAAATAAATAAAATCTTTAAAAAAAAAAAAAAATTTAAAAAATAAAACACACAGAAATTTTGTAAGTATCAATGTTGTATGGACAGATAGCAATTTTACTGAAGGAAGGAGTCATGGGGACTAAAGGGACTCAGTGGAAGGGCAGGCCAGCATTGCGTGTGGTCTGCAGCATCCCGCCGTTTCTTCTCACAGCTACAGCCCGCAGTGGGGTACCAACTTTATCATCAGCTTTAACTTCACTTGAATGGACGAGCACACGAACAAGCAAATTAACGGCCATCATTACTATACCCCTGATTCAAAGCTTTAACTTACTGGAACGTTATTAATCCTCATACGACTCAACGTTCTTCTGTAATAGCTGAAATCATTCTGTATGGCGGGATTTGTCATCTAAAGAAGACATTATAAAAGAAAAGTGTATTATGCACGTTAAATGATAGTGTAAAAATTAAGTGAAAAATCTCCTAAATACAGTTTTAACTAGTTAAGTGACACTCCCTAATTTGTAATACCAATATAAGAACTAAAACTGGCATCACCCAAGATAGCTTTTGTACCTAAATCACGTAACATTGTACTTAGTCCTTCTGAACATAGTAGATGAACCACGTAGACTGTTTCATAGAACTAAAACTGGCATCACCCAAGATAGCTTTTTGTACCTAAATCACATAACATTGTACTTAGTCCTTCTGAACATAGTAGATGAACCACGTAGACTGTTTCATAGTCATGATCCGTATACTTCCCTTCTTCTTTTCAATAATTTTAGGTTAATATACTAAAAGGTTGTTTCCCAAAAACCAGTATTACCAAATAAACAAAAACAAGAAATATGTAGGGACTTGTTTTGAATTATTACAATAAAAGTATGTGTATATGGTCAATAGGGCAATCCTCAGACTAAAATTTATATACAAATCCTTTCTGCTCAAAGTATTAATAAAAGAGAATAATTTCTGGGCGCCTGGGTGACTCGGTTGGTTAAGCAACTGCCTTCGGCTCAGGTCATGATCCTGGAGTCTCAGGATCGAGTTCCGCACTGGGCTCCCTGCTCAGTGGGGAGTCCGCTTCTCCCTCTGACCTTCTCCACTCTCATGCTCTCTCTCTCTTGCATTCTCTCTCTCAAATAAATAAAAATCTTAAAAAAAGAGAGAGAGAATAGTTTCCTATTATGCAATCATAAAAGGCTGTAATTAGGAATCCACCTCTTCCATTTATCAGATAAGGTCCCCAAGGTCTTGGAAAGTTGAAGGACCTGCCTCACACCTGGTTACTGTGACAGAGCCTCAAGTGGATCAGGTCTCCTCACATGAAAGTTACTACTTGTTTCTTTACACTCAGTCCTTCCAACAATGGGGCGGGGGGGGCAGATGCAGGGAAACAGGAAGATAGATAGACAGACAGAGAGATGAGGAAGAAGGCAGGCAGGCAGGAAGAAAGGAAGGAAATATCTTAACGTCTTTATATGAAGGGATGTTGAAAATTAGGGATGAGCAGAAAAGAAAAAATAATATTAGAAAAGGTCAATATTGGGCGCCTGGGTGGCTCAGTTGGTTGCGCGACTGCCTTCGGCTCAGGTCATGATCCTGGAGTCCCTGGATCGAGTCTCCCTCTGACCCTCCCCCCTCTCACGTGCTCTCATTCTGTCTCAAATAAATAAATAAAATCTTTTTTTTAAAAAAAAGGTCAATATTGTTCCAGAGATATTTTAAAAATGAAAGTAAATGAAGACTGAGTGTTGAGTAATTTGCTATCTGCTACACGTGTAATACATCAAAAGACCTGCCATAACTTTTAAATCTAGTTTTCCACGTTTCGCTAAGGACCAACAGATACCACGTAAACACACTGTGACAAAGTCTCCAGGGATTTCCTCCTGTGCTCACTGAAAGGCTCACAACATCCATGCACCTCAGGGCCAGCACAAAGTCCTACCTTGAGCTCATCGAATCGGAGTGTGAAATGAAGAATCTCTGCAAACTGTTTGGCAAGAGCCTGCTCTCGCTCTAGATGCTGCGTGGGAGAGTATGGGGTACTTGTCAAGGCTCCCAGAAGACCTCTTAGTGCTGCTTCTAAAGAAAGGAAGATTAAAATATTAAGCTGTAGTTCACTGATTTTTATTTAAAAATGAGCAATTTATGTTATGATTTTAGTTCCCATAAAAATAAGGTCTCTTCAAAAGCCAGATTATCTAAATATAATCACTAAAACTGAATAGTGTTTAACAGAATAAAAACCTTAAAGGGACCAATTCAGTTTTATAATTCCATAAACCCAAATTCAAAATAACGCCGAATATGAATCTGAATTAAACACTGATCATCAAACAGCAAATTTTATATTATTTTCACCATTCTACACAGTGTTGATTTTTATGAACCGGTAAGGGTTACCTACAGCTGAGTAACTTTTTCAGTGGCATCATGTCCACACAGTCAAATCTCTACATGGCTGGGAATAAATTACCAACTTCTCATACTTTGAATATGTTGCTTATTTATAAACACAAATTGCTTTCTTTCAGATACTAAAGGAAACAAAGTATTTGGTTTAATAATTAGCTTCCTGAGTGTCTTAGAGCTTGGCATCTTAGAATCACAGTATAAATACTCTAATTCATTACGTAAGTAAATGGTCCCTTCGAAATAAGTGCTCTCTTTGGAATGCTAGACTAATATATACTGTGTTTAAAAATGGGAATATTGATATTTCACTTCAAAAAAAAAATCAAAGAAATCAAACTAATTCATTCACAGATTTCAGAATCAGAAAAAAATGCCAGACTCTATTCAAAGAAAACAGGAGCTTATGGTAGTAGATGGTGATCTGACATTAATGAAAAAAATGTCAGATTATTAAGTAAATATTTATTAATAATAAATTTGTCAGATCAACCCTTAACTTAAAAAAATACCAGCTCTACTACTTATGAAGACCCTACTATGAACTAACATCCCTACTATGCACGTGACTTAGTCTCTTATTTAACTTTCACCATCAACTAGGACATGAGCATTGATGGGTACACACTGAGTTCCAAAGATTTTAGACCCCCAAGGGTACAGCTAGTAAATGCCAGATGTTTCTAACTCTATAGCCCTATTCTTTCCACCTTAATACATAATAAACTGCCTCTCAAATAAAGCAACATTCTACCTAGCTTTCTGTAACCTTATAAAAACATGAATCTATGGATTACTACATAGTAGGTACTTCTTACATGTCTAATATGTGCTGGTACTGAGCTAGACACTACACAGACGTTATTTGTCACCTACCAGTAACTCCACAAACGATAGTTCTTATCTTTTTTTTTTTATAGCAAGTCAGAAAATGTCTTGATTGTCTACCCTGTGCCAGGCACTGGGGTAACACAGATGAAAGCAGACATGCTCCCTATGCCCACATGGAGCATGATTATACAGAGAAGAAAGACAAATTATTAGTTGTGATATGTGTTAAGAAGTACATGATACAATGAAAAAACATAAAAATAGAACCTCACCTAGTTGAAGGCTCAGGAAAAGACCTCTCTGAGTAAGTGACATTTGGGCTGAGGCTGAAGTGTGCACTAAGGATGAGCAAGAGTTTGCAAGCAGGGCAGTGAGCCAGATCCTGAACTGAGAAGAGCATGACATAGCAGAGGAATGGCAAGAAGACCAACACAGGTAGAAAAGAGAGCACAAGGAAGAGAGTAACCCAAGACTAGAACAATACGCATATAATTTATGTGCCATATCCAGTATTCCTGTCTTGTCATCCTTAATGTCCCTGAAGAAACTACTTGAGCAGGGTAGTGATATCATTAGATTAACACTTATAAAAACTCCATGTTATCTGCTATGTGTAGGATGGATTGCAGGAGGGGCGCCTGGGTGGCTCAGTTGGTTAAGCGACTGCTTTCGGCTCAGGTCATGATCCTGGAGTCCCTGGATCCAGTCCCGCATCGGGCTCCCTGCTCGGCAGGGAGCCTGCTTCTTCTCCCTCTGACCCTCCCCCCTCTCATGTGCTCTCTCTGTCTCAAATAAATAAATAAAATCTTAAAAAAAAAAAAAAAAGAATGGATTGCAGGAGTATGGATAGCTTACAGAAGTGCAAGAGTGGATGTGAAGGTCAATTAAGAGGAAAAACACGTTTTAGCTCTTTTGCAAAATGGTTTACTCATCTCCCAAGATTCATTCCATCTGTCAGTATTAATATAAGTGGAAAGCAAAGTTTGAGAGACATGAGAACAGTAAAAACTGTTAAAACACACACACCAATACTGTTACAGGCTGCTAAAGAAAAAAAAGAAATCTGCATTTCCTAAATCAAGTCTCAGGGTAAATTTAACATTCAAGGTGCTCTACCATTTTGAGAGATGGCAGGCCCTCCCCACCCCCACCCCCACCCCTCGCCCCCGCCCAAGGAGTGCAGTCCAGTCACTTGGCTGAGTTGGGATGGCCAGTAACCATGTTGGAGAACTTCTGTTCTGGCTGAAGCCCTCAAGGGCAAATCTGTGAAAAAAGGGGATCTCAAGACAATGGCACTGCTTATCTGCCTTTGGGGCACCTAGACCAGCCTCTCATCTTGGGAGCCTCTGTGGATACAAAACAGTCCTACTAGTCTATAATGCCCTGTGTCAAGAAAGAAATCAGAGACAGAAGATCCCAGAAGATGGCTCAGGTCTCTGGCTGAGTTGGAAAGAAAGGGAGGTCAAGGACGAGATGATGTAGGGATTGGTCTTCCTGATGGAGCTCCTAAAACAAAACCATATGATTAGGATTCTTAGAAAAGGTGATAAGAAGAAATTAACAGTCTATTAAGCCCTAAATTCTAGAAGAAATTAGCTGGTAGATCAGTGCACAAGGTTACAAGGAAGAGACCAACTGGGAGAAATAATAAAGACAGATTAGTCCACAAAGTAGAACAATAAGGGGAAACCAGTGGATGCCTAGTTTAAGAGGAGGCCCCTGTGGAAAGTTCCCCTTTAGAGACAAGCATTTATCAACACTGCCATCCACACCTAAATCAAAGACTCATATCGGAACTTAAATCCTCAGAAGAAAACACAAAAGATGTGGACTGTGGGTGACTTAACATAGCCAAGAAACATGACCACACTCACTGTGGGCAATCTAGCCCACTGAAAACAAGCCAACATGATAGACAGACCTACCCATTATGACCCCAGGGGATGATCCCTATTAATAAGCCCCTGCAACAGGAAGAAGGCTGAGGAAAGACAAAGGAGTCTGTTTATGGTCTGATCATACAACCTTCACTGAGGTACCTCGACGAGGAAGGCCTTGGACTGAAACAAGCAAGTACAGGATATTTCCCAGGCCAACAACATTAACCTTGTCAACAAAGATCAGTATATCTTCCAAATTAGTCAAGTGATCCCTTCCCTGCATCTCTGTAAGTTTGCAAACTGGCAAGGGATCAGGGTCCCTCTTCTGGAGCACACACCACAGTGTATCCGTGGTGCTGAGGCCAAGCACCCTCTCCTTGGGATTGCAAGATTCTGAGGGACCACACGTATCTTAACAGTTAGGTGGTTCTTTGTGGGCTATTTGTAATGTTTATCCTCACCTGTAGCTCAAGTAGGAAGAAAAGAGACAAAAGGTTTAGCGGATATAAACCAGATGGCTCACCAGACTCCGAAGTCCAGATAGGTACTGAAACTCAGAGAATTTAAGTCATATGGTCAAGACCACACAACTAATACATGGTAAACATCAGATTTCAAATAGGAAGCTATGCCTCCAAAGCCTAAAATCCATTATTATTGCTTCTCCTAAATACCCAATACATATCTGATACATCAGATGTGTGTATTAATTTTTTTTAAAGATTTTATTTATTTGACAGAGAGAGGGAGAGAAAGAGAGAGAGAGATCACAAGCAGGGGGAGAAGCAGAGGGAGAGGGAGAAGCAGACTCCTTACTGAGCAGGGAGCCTGACATGGGGCTCAATCCCAGGACCCTGGGATCACGACCTGAGCTGAAGGCAGATGCTTAACCGGCTGAGCCACCCAGGCGACTCCAGATGTGTGTATTCATTAATTCATCCCTCATTCACTCAAGAAACAGTGAGTTCCTAGCATACATAAACAAGGATATGTTACTGTCAACATGGAAACTGGAAACATTACTAACCAGGTTACGGGCGAAGAGATGAGGAGTAAACTGTCCTATATTAAATTTGTACTTTGCTCATAACTTTACAGAAGTCCCCAGAGTAATCAAAGTTCCAGGCTCCCACATGACGGTATGAAAAACGATAGCTTCTTGCTATTACCTATGTTATACCACTCTGCTGAAATGGAACACACACCACTAGCCTGATTTAATTGATAGTTAAAACAGAAGAAAACATGTAAGCGTGACTGGTTTGGCCTATTTTATAATTATTCTTTTTTATTTAAGTGGCAAATGCGAAGAGACCAAGATGAGTCTGAGTAGGCCTGAGCACCAACTAAAGCAATGTAACTTCAAATGTCCAGCTAGGAACTAGCAGCACATGAAGGAATCAAGATAACCATGATTAAAAGACTTCAGTTCAATGAGGTTACAAAACTACAAACTACAGAGTACTTGATCAAAAGGTCAGCAGCGTGAAAGAACTTGACTGTCCCTATTGAGAAAGTAAGTTACAATTCTTATTTCTAGTAAGAAAAGGATAATTTATACCAACACTTCTATCTCAACAATCTGTACCTTTAACAGTCCTTCATCTAAGGAAAAACAGCAGTTCTCTTAGTTTTTAAAAAATTGAACTTCAGCTTTCAAGTAGGTTGCAGACCCAAGTGGCCTAGTAGCTAATATGAAGGTATGGAGAGCCAGATAGGAAAAACTAGGAAGTGACAGGGACCTACTGCAAACTGGAAAGCACAAGCCCTACACCAATGGACACAGAGATGCTTTGCAGAGATCACTCCAGCCAACTGAGATGTAGATTGACCAATCAACTACCTAAGCTATTGATTTTTCCCAAGGCATCTGGAGACTTAAAAACAACAAAACACAGAACCCAAATAATTACCAATTTTTAAAACCTGGCCAACTTATGTCTTTCAAATTACTCCAACAGCTAACTGCCTAAATCTTACCTGCTCTGCCTCCTCCTCCTTCAAAATAAAAGGAATTCCAATTTTGCTGACTCACTGTATGGAAGGTATAATTCTGATCTTTGAGTAATTATTCCCATGCCAGGAAAAAAGCTAATGGTTTTGAATGCTTTTTGTTTTAATAACTCCCTAGATAACTTTGGGCACATCATCAACTTGCTATTTTCTCATCTTGTACCACTTTAGATACATGAACTGATGATAATCAGCAATGATTTTTAAGAACACAAAAATCTAAATAACCCAAAGTCCTGACAATTAGTTCCCACATATGGGACAGGATTTGCTGTATAGCTGGAGAGAAGCTCTACCAAGTGTTTCTCATACTAGGACCCTTTAGGCTACCAAAAAAAAAAAAAAAAAATTCAGACATTTCCTTGTGGAAGTTATAATTTATTGGGGAAATGGTCTAAATAAATTAAAGACCTGGGTTGATAAGGATGATAATCTTACAGTCTAACAAGAGTGCTGTATCTATGTAGCATACAAATTTAGCAAGGTGAACATAAGATACTCTACATTAATTCCTTATCAATAAATGTCTTTTTCACTAGGGAAGTCATAATTACAAAACTTTCAACTTACCTAACCTCTGAGAAAATTCATAAAATGTCTTTAATTTGCCTACTAGTGGGACAACTGCACCCCAAGCCTTCTCTTGCAACTTCTCATCTGCTGGATGCTGGATTGCCTTCAAAATCCAAAGAATAAAAATAGTTAGAGTTTTAAAAATCAAAACAGTATTATTTTTACATTAAAATATAGGTTTCAGCAAACATAGGAAACCCTGGTATACTCAATAAAATATGACCAGTCTTTCAAACCATTAGGCAATCTTTTGTGAATATAGAGGGTCACTCCCAATGAAAGGTATTTTCTTGCTTTCATCTTTCTTTTGCTTCTCTTAATCTTTTATGGAACTTAATGCTTTTTTTTTCAACAATCTGGTTTGTTTTCTCTAACATCTTCAAACAAGCTAAACATGCTATCTGAAAGTTGAAACTCATAACCAAGATGGGGGAGTGTATGGGGGTTCTTCTTATAAACATTATCAGGAAGTATTGACATGTTTAGATTTTCCAAAGGCACTAGTACTCTGACTCCATCCACACTAAACTGAAAAACAAGAAAGCAAAATAAAACTGAAACCAGACAGATTTAGGGAATGCTCTGAATAAATAAGATACAAATTAAACAAATGGGCTATATATTATTTATACAATGTGCCTTATAAGCTTGCCACTACATGCAAATTTTCTTGATTTTTTAATATAAAACTTTTTTTTTAAAGATTGTATTCATTTATTTGCGAGAGAGAGACAAATAAGAGCATGAGCAGGGGGAGGGGCAGAGGGAGAAGGACAAGCAGTCACCCCACTCAGCAGGGAGCCCAACGGCAGGGCTCGATCCCAGGACCCCAAGACCACGACCTGAGCCTAAGTCAAAAGCTCATCCAACTGAGCCACCCAGGCGCCCCAAACGATATTCAAACACAGTAGGATCTGAAGTGAATCCCACTTAAGTGACTACCTCAAATTTTAATATTAAAGAAAATCTTACATTACATATAACAATCCTTCTTTCACATTAATACCAATACTTCAAAGGGACTGTGATACTATCCTGACAAATACGAAAAAGTTCTTTTAGTCTCAAGCCCCATCTCAGCAATGTTTTATATCAAGTGGTAAAAATCTGTTAATTATTCAGGAAATAAGCAAACAGATAAAAATTAAAATTTTCTCTTCTTTTCCTGAGAAGCATATCCAACTTTTCTTGCAAGATCTAAAAACTATTTTCCAAGTAAGAGCTCATTCCCATAGTATCAAAATGGTCTGGCAAACATTACCCACTTTCACAACTGAGTGAGTTAACTACTTCCCTGACCCTGCCCTGCCTGGATTTAGAACCGGGACACTGGCTGCTCTTTTATGACAACATGTTATGGTTCTCACTGTAATTCTGATTCCTTCTCCTTTCACATCAGTGTCACTGTGTTAGGCGACATTTTTGGTACAGCACCCAGACAGCCCAACACGCAAAGGACGCTTAGTACAGGTCAGCGGTGAGACTGTCATGGAGCAGACATGGCAACTGTCAGTTTCAGAAGTGTTACAACTGGTATAGATCTATCAAAACAGTAGTGGAGAGCTCTTACTTCCCTCACCAGTGGTTTATCCTAGAGAATAAGCTTTGTTTAAGAGATTCTGTATTAAATCAAATTTTATTCTATTTCAGTCACGTTTAATAAAATGCCATTTAAACAAAAATGTAAGTAATTCCACATCCTCAGCATAGGTTTTTACGTTTACCTTGCTCTTGAATGATACTCTGTAAGAGAGTATCTTCTAAAATGTAATCTGGTACAGAAGTACAAACAATTTTACAGATCTCATTTTACAACTGGCCAAACTGACCTCCAAAAATGGCAACCATTTTATATTAGCATTTGTATTAAAACTACCTGTTCCTTCATAAACCAATATTGAGCATTAACAATTTATCATATATAGTAAAACTGCTTGACAGTGATAAGCATTTATTAGTAAATCTGAACATTTTTTTTCTATTGTCGGTGCTTTTTCATAGGTAGAATGGTTGTTCTACCAAGTTTAAGTCTTCCTATTGACAGTTACCGTAGTTATATCTGTTCTCTATATATTTGTATGTAATCAGCTTTTATTTGTACCTTCCTTTCTTAAATTGTTTTCCTACTTTTCAGAAACATTTTGTGCTTATAGAGTTAAACCCAAACATCAATATGCGTTCCTCAGTGAAAATTTCTTCAAATGCTTGAATAGTTACACACTTACCTTAATCTACAGATTTAAATGCTGTTTTAAGTCTTCTAGCTTACATATTTTTTATCTATTTTATTTACCTATTTCTCTGTCCTTAATTCCTTTACCAAAGAATTAATGAAGGTACCTTTATAGTAAGTCTCAAAGCATGGTAAGGTGAATCTCTTACTATCTCATGTGATTCTCCCCTTTCCTTTTAGTGTAATTTTTCTATGCAAACTTTAACTTTGTGACATTTATTTACTGTAATGCCACGAGTGCACTGAATGTGCCCACAGCACTAAACTGGGTGACCACAGGGGTCCTACAGTGAACTCCAACCTTTGGTCACTGCATCTAAAGTTCCTGGTTTTGCAGGAACTTTTACAAGTCCTCTTTGAAATGGCTCCTAAGTAAGGTTTCTATCATTTTACTGTCTTTTAGAAGATGACAACTACATTCAATAAAGTCAATATAAAGACTGTAGTGAGCCTTCCCACAAAACAGAGAGAGTAACCCTTCACTTGGTTAAGTTTTTTTTTTAAATCCTAAGGGCAATAGGTAAAAGTTTATATCTCTATAGTTTTTTCTTTATTGTTTATGGGAGACAACTGTAACCAGCTGATCAGAATTCAGCTGTAAAACAAATTTTAAAGATTTTAATGATATAATACTGAACAATTAAAATAATTTGTAGCACTGATAATCAATATGAAGACACTAAAACATTTTAGAACAAATTGTGAATTGTTGTGACCTACAGGAAAAGAATTTGTCAATTAGTTAATTAAGATCCTGCTTAATCATTTAAATCTTCCATTTCCACAAATGTTTGATTTTTCAAAATTCGTTTAAATTTCACTGGAATCTTAAGGTTTCACTTAAGCTAATGATATTGGCAAGATTCATCTAAGCTCTTGTATTTATTTCTTCAACAGTTACTGCTTCCTAAGCACTGTTTTAGGTGCTGATGACACACAAATCAGTAAGAAACCAGGTTTACCCTCCTCCTCAAGCTGGAGGTGGTGGGGGAGTTATCAACATTAAATTTCAATAAAAGAAATGTGTGCAAAGCACTGGGGCAGCCGAGTAAGGGGGAAGTAATTACTGGGATGTGGAGGAAAGAAAAGTGTACATGTGCAAGACTTTCAAGGAACAAACAGTCCAGGCCAGGAGAGGTAAAAAATGGAATTCACCTTATCTCTAATTTCCCTAAGCTAATGATATCACCAATGGCTAATCTAAACCAGAAACCCCAGAATCATTTAACTCCCCTTCTCCCTTATATTAAACATCCAGTCAATCACCAAAACCTGTGCCCCTTAGTCCAAAACTAAAACATCTTGAATCATCTTCTGATGCCTACACTTAATTCTGCCTTCACTAATACTCCAAATGTCATTAGAGGAATGGAGCCGGATAAGGACCGTAAAACCAACAGACTGCCCCTTGACAACCTCTGCACTGTTAGTTACGAGAAGCAGAAGGGTAGGAAAAAAAATGAAGAAGCAGGGCAATGCCCTTAAGAAATGCAGTAATGAGAAAGAGATAGGTCCAGAGGCTAGGGTGTTTCTTTGGGTGGTAGAGGACACCTGAGTATGTGTATATTCTGAGGGGAAGAAGTCAACAAAAGAAAAAACATAGAAGATGTAATTAAGAGAAGGAATAATTAAAATAGTAAAGTTCCAGAGGAAGATGCAGAACAAAGGTAGAGACATTAGTCTTGGTAACAAGTAGAGACACAGTTTTTTCTGAAAAATAGAAGAAGTGGAATAAGAGATAGATAGAAACCTGGATGAGTTCAGAGGCTCGGGAGAAGAAAATCGAGGAGACCACACCAAAGACTGGCTCCATGGTGTAAAGTCATCGGACAGAGTTGGGGGAGTCTAGACCGCAAGGATGACAGCAGCCTTTTCCCATGAGGTATGGGAGGAATGGAAAAAATAAGACTAGCAGGACCAAAGGCCGCAGAAAGTTATGTTCTCTCCTCCTCTCCAAAAGTATAAATAAGTATAAAAAGTATAAGTAGTCCCACGCCATGGATACTGTAAATTTCAGGTGTGAGAGCAACCAAAAAATAAATAAAATTTTCTTTAACATACATAAATTACATATTCACAGAACACTGTTCTCCTTTTACCCTTGTATCACTACAACCACTTTTAAAATAATGCAAGTGATCGTTCTTTAAATATAATGCTTAATATGCAATAGAGAATTCAAAAGTATGTACAAAAGAGAGATTAAGAAGAGGAGGGACGTAGTAAATTTTAGTTTATTGGAAAATGTTTAAACGTGCTTTACCTCTCGTATTTCATGGCCAGCTCCTCTATATGATTGCAAATCCTCCAAGATACCTTCTGCATCTTTTAATACTACATTCACCTGATTATAAATTTCCTTCTCAGACTCTGTAGGCTGGGCATCTAAATAGCAGGAAAGCAAAAAAAAATTTACAGTCACATGATTTTTTTAGTACATGTATAACTCTAAGCAATGAACAATCTCAATTTCTAAAGATGGCTCACATTTTATTCAATGCTAACTTTGCACTTCTTAGAAAAGACTGATAATTTTTCCATACTTCTACATTTGAATAGCTAGGCCTCAAGTTTGTAAATACCACAAAGGAGCAAGGGACCATCAAACATTACTATTTATCTTAAGTTACAAACCATGACTTGGTATATTAAATGAACTTGAGAACTGTAATTCAAAATTTAAATTGGGATAGTGTTAATAATCACTTTTACTACTGTAGTAATCACTACCAGTAATGACTGTAAATGCATGAATCATGATTTATTTTAATGCAACAGAAATGGAAAGCCTACTAATATATCTTGTTCATCTATAGCTTAAGACTGAAACTACCTTATTTTCCTATAAAGTTCATTTTAATGACTTGAGTTTCATAAAAAATAAAAACTATTTTAAAAGAATAGTTGTTAGTTGTTTCCCTTTTCTAGGGACCACTTTAAATTCTGTGCCAATGAACTTCTCTGCTGATGAGCACAAGGTCAAAACTCCTGTGCAGAGGAGTTCAAATTATGACACCATTTCAGAATGGCTAGGCTGCTGAAAACCAGATACTTGCAGCTATGATACTGTCACTGAAGTTTTGAAATACTAAAGCAAAAACGGGCTCCCCACAAACTTGGGACTGAGTGAGAGAAAAATGAAGGGAGAATTTTAGTCATAAAAAGCACAATCAGGAACACAAACATATGGGCATTTCCACCACCTGTGGTGTTAGCCACAGAGCATATGCTAATAGATGACTAAATCTGGATTTCTCTCTCCTAAATTTGAGGTAGCAGAAACCCTGTTTTTAATAACTTGGTCATTTGTTTCTTTTTTGTTTAATACAATTTTTTTTGAGAAAAATGGGCAATCTGTGTGAAATGGAGTTTTTCATAAATCTTTCCAATTAGACCACATTTGATGCTACAGATAAGGCATAAAGCACTAAAAATGATAAACATTATGATCATCATCATGTTTTAGAGAGGAACTGTGTTGGCTGAATTCCTCCACACAAATATTTTTCTTACAGGGATAGGGGAGGCAGACCAAACTGATAGTATGAATTGAGAACATTTCTGATAAATCCCTTTGTCTACCCAATCATATAAAAACTAGTACTTAGACTTTTCTTCCCCCACTTCACCTTCCCACAAATATACACTATATTTATTTCTTTCCTTTGAAAATTTAAACTTAGTTCACACATGAAACTAGGAGTCCAGATGCCTAAGAACTGTAACTTTATTTCGCACATAGGGCAAGTCATAATTCAATTCCACCTATTAAAGCTGCAAACTAGTAAAAAATATACCAGTTTTTAAAAAATCAACAGAGTACCAAATTTTAACTTCAACATACTTAAACAGTACTGTGGAAACAACAGATAACATTCATGTGCAAAGCCAACTTAAGAATTTGTGTTCTTGTATCTGTTCCCTTATTTTCCAAATCTCCTTTCAGAAATCTATTTTTTTAATAAAAATACTCTAGACAAAATAATTACACAAGAGGAGCCAAATTAAAAATACTCTGTGTCCAAAGCCATAAAGGTATTACTAGAAGCAAATATTGATACTGAAGCTAAATGATTTTTTAAAAATCAGGGTTTGTCATTTAGCAGTAATAATTTCTCACATTTAGCCAGACCATATTCTCCAAACTAAAAGACACACACTAAAAAAAAGTACACCTCATAACTTTTATACTTACACCAGATGCAATAGAGAAAAGTACTTTTTTAACATGCAAAACAGCAGTTTTATACTTTTTCATATGGAATTGTGAAACTACAGACATAACATCAATAGTAGACACATATCATAGTTTTAATTTATGAAGTGGGAATTCATGACAAAGGACAATATTTTGACTGTTATTTATCAAAAGATACTTGTGAAGTTTGAAAATACTAAACTGTATTTTTGGTATGGTGACCTAGCTGTTAACAGAAAAATGTGACACTGAGACTTACATACAGAAGAAACATTATCAAGTAGCTTTAAGTAGACCTTGGAAGTGGTTAATAATTATTAAAAGTTTAGTAAGTACCAAGAAATTTAAAAATAAAGGAGAAGATTCCAGTTCCCCTAAGGGTGGAAAAAATACCCAGCACCACACTGATTAAACATTTTTAGACTGTCACAGGAAAGTCACATTTATAATTTTGAAAGCTGCTGAAGACTGCTGTAGAAATGAAGACAAACAGAAAGTAGCAGACAGGTAATAAGCACTACTTTACTGAGAGCAAGTCATGCAAAGGGGTGAAATACTAGGGAGGGAGAAAAGATTATAAAATAAAGCATTTTTTTTCAAAAAATGGTATCATATAATACAACCAAGACTTGTCACTGTGATTTTTCATGGCAAAGAATGAAAAATTTTATTACTTGGAGAAAAAACTATCACTTAACCAGGTGACAAAAGGACATTCATTTGAATGCAAAATAAAGTAACTACTACTTAGAACAAGTGTAGTGATTACTCATCAAGATTAGTTTTAATAGCTGTTCAAGGGAAATTAAGGCATGTTTCAGTTGCTCTTATTATTTGAAGGTAAAATTAAATAATTGCAATTTCATACTGGTTTTCTATTAAAGAGTCACTGAAAGTAATTGCTAAATTTCAATCTGAATTTCACACAATTTTATAAAAAATAGAAAAGGGGGCAAAGATCAGCTACAAAAAAAATAACAAAAAGAAAGTCACACAAAAACTGCAATTGTGATAAGGGGCCATTATGCTTTAGTCTTGCACTCACTCATTCGGTAAATATTTACTATCTATCTCCCTAAGTTTCATCAAGGCAGGGACCTCAGTGTATAGCACATACACTGTACAGGATATAAACTCGTCCCAAGTAGATTTTCTATAACAAGTGTTTGGTGAATGAATGAGAAGACAGAGATATAAATGCGCCTCCAGCATGAGTTAAAGGAAACTATTATGCATTTTTATCTCTGTATGACTATAATCCTCCATCATTTTAGAAAAATAAATACAAGAAAATGCCACCAGAATAAAGATATTTCAAAGTACAAGGCAAAAGCAACTGAAAATATGCAAGAAGTAAAATGGGAAAATAAAGTTAGACTAAAAGAGTGGATCTCAATAGTTTTACAAGATTGCGGGGGACAAGTCACACAAAAGACACAAGAATTAGAGGGAATGTATGACTAAATGGAAAGGCACTTTAACAAAGAATCAGAGAAAGTAAGACTCCATTCCTCATTTACAAACGACCACCTTTATTTACTCTCCTATTCTGGTCTACCTGGAGATAAGTTAACTAACAGATACTGAACTTCTATCATTTACAAAGCACTGCGCAGGTTGGAAATGGACATAAAAATAAATAGAAGTGCCTCTTCTCCTAAGAACCACAATTTAATGGACTAATAGATACAGTAGTTATTCAGGCTAAATATGTGCCATTAGAATGAGCTATAAATGTCATTATCAAATAAGAAATTCCAGAAAGTAGAGGAGGCTATACTGCCCCCAATTCAGTGCTTTTTATATGCTGCTATTAGCATAACTGCTGTCAAATTTTATGGGGCAATTCTGGGTTTATATCTTAGTTGAACCATTATTCTTAAAATAAAATCTTATCATATAGGTACAATTTAAGAAAAAGGCCCTTTTTCTAGTACACCTCAAGAGTAGATAACAGTATTTTCATTGAACATAGAATGTCATTTCATGCCTTAAGGGCTTTGTAGATGCTGTTCCTTCCTTCTAACAATGTCCTTCACTAACTTACCCTGAAACATTCTAACTCACCCTCCACAACCCAACTCCAAGGTTACCATCAGAAAGTCTTCCATGATATCCCATCTACTAACTGCTAGGTATAGTTAATCCCCTGTGATCCACACTTTGAATGGTAAAGGATGTGTTTGTGTTTCTATCTTACTATATTGAGAACTCCCAAAAGGAAGGTGTTGTATCTTCGTTATCTCTGAATCCTCAGCATCTACTGGTTGGCATACAGGAGGCAAGCCATAAATGTCTGTTGAACTGAACTGAAAAACCATGTATGTACAGGCATGTAAACTAAAGGAGTCATGATTTAAAGACATCTTCATTCTGTAAACTACAGGATTCCATTAGATCACGTTTTATATGCATAAAAATACTTAATACAAAATGCCAGTATATCTATCTGTATGAAATTATTTCTCTAGCTGCCCAATCATGGAGATACAATGAGCTAGATTTAACCACTAAGAATAATGAAATAGGAGAGCCTGAGTGGCTCAGTCATTAAACGGTTGCCTTTGGCTCAGGTCATGATCCCAGGGTCCTGGGATTGAGCCCCACACGTCGGGCTCCCTGCTCAGCGGGAGCCTGCTTCTCCCTCTCCTCCCTGCTTGTGTTCTCTCTCGTTATCTCTGTCACTATCTCGCTCTCTCAAATAAATAAATAAAAAATTTTCAAAAAAAAAAAAAGAGGAATGAAGGAATGGTAAAGCCAAATTACTCTGGTAACCATTTGAATATTATTCTTCAACCAGAAACAAACAATGTAGTATTAAATATGCTACTTAATAAAAGAATGTGGCTTTATTCTCAGTAATCACAAGGAACTGGCAAATCAACTATATTGACAATTCAGCTGTTGAAGACAGGACCCATGCTTGGGCTAAAGTCACTGAGGTAGTCTAATGATAAGATAAACTTTTACAAATGCATATTTCCAAAAAGAAGGAAATATGCAATAGATGAAACATAAAAACTGATTAAGAGAACTCTAATGTTGGAATCAAAAGAAAACATTTAAAAACCTAGGTAAGAAGTAACAACGGGCAAACTCTGGCCAGTGTCAAACTGAAAGTTCTACATTGGCTGATAAGGCCAACAAATATCACCTTTACTTTACATCGGCCTTCAATAAGTTAACA